ATGAAGCCAAACTTAAAGAATCCATACTCATCTTTACTTCAAGTCAGTAACTTTCTGGAGTCTCCATATCTGATAACCATTATCATATGAGATGTACAAAGTCTCAAAATTTGTGCTTCCTCAAACCAAGCACAACTCTAGTTCATACTAATTAATTTATTCATTTATGCTTATATTCAACAAATATTTATTGAGCATTTGTAATGTGTTAGGTACCATGGTGAATGGTGGGTTCATAAAAGTGAACAAGACAGGTTTCTACCCTTGCAGAATTTCTAATCAAGGGTGAAGGCCATCAACAAATAATACAATATAGAGTGTAAAGTTCTATAGTAGGGAAGAGCGGGGTGTTGGGCAGCTGGCTAACTGAATCTTGGGTGTGGAAAGGGTCCCGAAGGCAGTGACACTTCAGGTGATATCTAAAGGATGAGTAGGAGTTTGCTGGGATATGTCTGGAGAGAAGATTCCAGGCAGTAATTAAGAGAAAAGAAGTTTGGACTTTATTGCCAGAACAATCAGAAGCCATTGAAGGATATTAAGTAAAGGAGTGACAGGATCAGCCTGCCCCCCCAGAACCATCCTCCCCCCCCAACCCCCAGACAGAAAGCCAAGTGGAGATGAATTGAGAGAGAAAACACTTAGAGGCTGGCAGGGCAGAGGCTGTTGGAAAAGGATGGCAGTGGCCTGAACTAGGTTACAGTCCATGTGGAACTAGAGAGAAGTGAGCTGATCTGGGGATGTGTAGGAAGTAGAGCTGGTGGGACTTGATTGATGTAATGTGTTTAGTGAGGGATGAGGGAGAGGGAGGCATCAAAAATGATGCCCAAGTCTGTCTCCAGGGACTAGATGGAGGATGCTAGGGCCATTCCCCAAAGCAGGGAACACATACGGAAGGGAGGGATTCAGGGAAGGAGCAGATGATGGGTTTTGGAATACGATTAAATTTAGGTACAAATGGAATACCTAAGTGGAGAAGCCAAGTTGCCAGGCCTGACCATCAGTAAAGGAGTTTGGACTAAAGTTATAGATTTCAGACTCATTAGCTTGCAGATGGAAACAAACGACTCAAAATGGATAAGATCACTCCGTGAGCTTGGATTGAACAAAAGAAAAAAGCACCTAAAACAGTGGGAATAAAATTATTAT